GTCCCTGTGTGAGTCTGTCAGTGTGTCCCTTAGTGTGTCAGCTGATGTGTTGGTCAGTTAGGGTGTCATTCATTTGTGTATCACTCCCTGGATCAGTCAATACAGCCAGTCAACTGGCTGGTCAGTCGGTGTGTCGGTCAGCAAGTTAGACAGTCACCGTGCCAGTGAGCCCATCAGAAGGTCTTGCAGTTATTTGCCTCAGTCATAATCTGCGTTGGTCATGCAGTTGGCCCATCATGAAAGTCAGTAAGATGGCCAGTGTATATGTCTGTCAGTCACTGTGTTGGCCAGTCAGCTGGTGATCTGTATGGCATCACACTTCAGCACTTGAGAATCCAGCTCCATCCAGAGAATAATTACATTTACAATTCAGGTCACAGCTGGGCGGCTCTGTCAGATACACTTTGTTTAGCAGGCGGTTTATTGATCCTGGACTGGGAGCAAAGCCCTCATTAGCAACACTCCAGGGAAAAACCTGTGTTTGAATGTGATGGCAGAGCTCTTCAATCAATGCCTGGCCCCACACCCTGCAGCCAGAGAGCACTGGCTTACTCACAGTCTGCCGCAGGGAGGGAGGAGAGGGGCTCTCGTCTCATCAGTGATGTCACTCACCCAACATGATGGCGTCCAGAGCCCCCCCAGGACAGAATTCAATCAGGATCTGACAGAGAGAGAGAGATGTTGGAGGCGCTTTGCCACTCTTACAGTGGATATAAGGGACACTAATGCCTGGCAGCTGAATCTAATCCAGGTTCCAATCATTTAAAACTTGTACAGTCAGACATGGGGGTTAAAACAATATTAAAAAATCCATTAAGTGGACCCTTCCTGCTTGCTTGTTAGGAATTGCACTAGGGCCTGCTGCTGGTAAAACCTGGAAGAGATTGAAGTGTCGTGCACTGGAAAGGACAAGAACAGAACTGGTGAGTTTCAGACTGCTGCTGAGACGATCACCTATTGTAGGAAGAGCTGGGAAGCTAGAGAAGTTTAATGGAGTCTAAACCCATGTTTCCAGCTTCTTTTTTATATCTATGAGTTACTGTACATTTTCCTGGCTCCAGGTTCAGAAGGAGCAGGAATGGCACCCTGGATATTGGAAGCCCCTCCTCTGGTGCTGATGTCCTGCAGGTCATGTGTAAAGGGATTTGGGTCAGGCATAAAGCCCGGGGAGTATGGTTAGGGTTTCACATTGAGGATAACGCTTTGTGAGAAATATCTGCGTCTGTTTACTTTGTGTTATATCTGGAAAATAATACAGTAGAAATATTGCATTGGAAATCCAAGAATTAGATGTAACTGTTGCTCTAACACCCAGTCACTTCTAGTTATTGTAAATGTCTGTGAGCTCTAGTTCAGGCAGTGTTTAATAATTATTAAAGTTCTAAAGACTCTGCTGAGAACGTTTTCTCAGAAAACTGTGGGCAGCCAGACATATTGCCTTATACTAGGAAACCATTACAGCTTGAGAGGGTGTGTGTGGAGACTGATAACTCATATTAAGGTTCATGTTTGAACTGCTTGTTCTGCTTACAATTTGGGCAAAATTGCATCTTAAAAGTTCAGCTTCCTGGAAGTGCACTACACTAGCTTTCCTAGTGGAGGGAGGATGTGGTGCTGACAGCACACACAGACATCAGTGTAGAGCCGTTCCCACACAGGGGGACCTCAGGAAGAGACACCCCCCCCCCCACCCCGGGATACCCCTGGGTACCCCGTGCATTAGAGGATTGTAGGATTTACTCTGTGTGAAGGATTTTCTTGTGTGGAGCCCATGCTGTAGAGACACCTGCTATTGTCACAAAGAATCTGCCAGCCTGGACAGGCATACTGTTGATTCACATATATGGAAACTTGCGGGGAGGATCAAAAGGTTCAATCTAAATATATCAATCCTAGAATACCAGCTTCTCCAGTGCCATTCAGGGCCCTTAGAGGAGATGCTGTAAAAAAGTACGAAAGGTGCTTGTGAACAACAGTATGTAGATCGGATAGGAGGCCTCCTTGTTGTGAAATAAACTTCTTTCACATCTTCACCGAGCTAGGCTGTGACTCCTGGCATCTCTACAGGATCTGGAAGTTGCAATGGGGAAGGATGAGCAATATCTTTCCTTTCCCACAGCCTTTGTGTGCACGGTGATTCCAGATTCAGGGCCAATCTGTACATGTGATCCAGAATTTTGGGGGCTTTGCCATTTCCAGTGTCCGGCGGCCCTCCCCCTCCTCTTCCTCACCCAGAGCTGTCCCTCGAAGAAGAGCGCGTCGAGCAGCCCGATGATGTTGCCGTGGCGGCAGGCGGCCAGGATGTCGATCTCCACGATGTAGTCCTCCAGCTCGTCCTCGCTGCGGACGTCAATCACCTTCGCCGCGGCGGAGAGCCCCGACGACCGGCTGCGTGCCTGGCAGAAAGACAAGCGGGGACGTGGCCGTGCTCAGTCCTGTTCTTGCAGAGCAGCAGGGTACCTGAGCTCTTCAGGGCTTTACTGATCTCAGAGGTGACTAAGCGGTCTGATTTGCAGAACCGTGCTTTGTCAGGACTGGGGGAGAAGATCACCGTCCTAGAACATAGCACCTTGTCTGTTGAAAGGGTCCCCCTTGGACTAGAAATGCTACAGGTGTGACAGGGGGTCTCCCTCAGTGGATTAAGCTCAGGAGACTTCAAGCCCTGCTGGGCGAGCAGAACAAGCCGTGAGGAACAGCCTGCAGTGCTAACTGCACGCGCAGCGATGAGACACAGGCAGAGAGAGGGGAGGAAGTGGCAGATGGAGACGTTAGTGTGGGTCAGAGGACAGCTCTGGTGTGTGTTTGTTTAGGGCTGGAGACAGCAGGAAGGAGTAAGATGTGTGTTTCAATTTGCAAGAGCCCTGGGTGCTGTTGTTCGGGCATTTGGTTTTGATCTGGAGCGATGCTGTAAAACTTTTAAAAAGCCCTTTTCAAACAGAAACCGAGACAGAGACGCACGGTAGGCAGGAAGCTGTTTGCTGCATACACTGCTTTGAAAGGAAGTCGCACTAAACCGCAGTCAACTCTAGCATGCCAGGCGACCTACCTGTTACCTAGGGAACACGTTCGTTATTTTTTGTTTTTTGTTTTTTTAAAGTAGCTCTCTTGTTTTTCTGTTTCGCAGCCGCTGCTGGTGAAAGGCTCTTCTGTCAGAAGAGAACAGGAGAAGGCCACTCTCGTTGTTCCTGACTCACTGCCAAGAAACAGATTTCCAGAATAACCCGAGACACTATTGAGTCCCTAGCCCCAGTCCTGAAGCACCCCAGTCACTGCAGAGGTCAGGAAAAGATGCTAATCATGTACAGGCTGCTTGATCAGAACCTCTGCAATTCTTTTTCGCTGGAGATCTTAACTTAATTACGAAAAACCAATGGTTAAAGTTGCCAGCAGCCATATCACCCTGCAACTCACAGCTGAGAACCCACTGGGGCTCGGCAGGTGTGAGCCTGGCCGGTACCTGGATGGGAGACCTCCTGGGAAAGCTAAGGCTGCTGCTGGAGGAGGTGTTAGTGGGGCCAGCTTACCCTGTGGTCTGTTTAGGTCCTAATGCCCCAACCCCCAGTACAGGGACACCATACTGTAAATAGGCACCGTCTTCCGGATGAGATGTAAAACCAAGGTCCTGACTCTCTATGGTCGTTAAGTCCCAGAGCGTTTCTTGAAAACAATAGAGGTGTTACCCTGGTGTCTTGTCCAAATTCGTCTCTTTACTAATCATGGTCTCCTAACAATCCCCATCTCTGAACTGGCTTCATCACTCTGTTCTCCTCCCCACTGAGAGCTGGTGTGTGGGGAGAGTACTGGCCCATCATCCAGGCAGGGCTACACACTGGAGCTAGTGAAAGGGAGTTCCCATTGCCTGTAAATCACTTTGAGTGGAGAGTACAGAGAGTAAACCTAACAGAAAATTGCTATATAATGAACCAAAGACCTGCTGGTAGGTTAATTGGCTTCTGAGAAAATTGGCCCCGGTGCGTTTGTGTGCATGTCAGTGTTTGTGTCAGCTCTGCAATGGGCCTCTGTCCTGTCTGGGGTGTATCCTGCCTTGAGCCTGTTGCTTGCTGGGATAGGTCCCAGCTCCCCAGCAGCTCTGATTGGATGAAGCAGTTGGATCCTTCAGATTATCAAAAACTAAACTCATAGCAGATTTTATGTCTAAAACTAGGACACTACGCACAGATTTCATAGTTGGAAATGCATTTAAAACCAAGAATACGAGGCATTTCTTTACATAAAGGGCAGCGGGAGTATGGAACAAGCTACCCAGCCATGCTACTGAAGCAGATACAGTAGCTTCTTTCAAAACACACCCACTGCTGCTGTAACCCTGAGAAAGGTGCTTCACCTGAGCTGTTGCAGTCAAATGCCCAGCTGTGTAAACGAGGAAAAATGCATGTTGTTTTGAATAAACACGTCAGGAAAATAAATTAGAATTCCAGGATTTTTACATGGCCGTGGTTAAATCCGATTTCCAAAGATTTGCCTGTTTGAGGTTTTCCTAAGTGCTTGTATGCTTGTCCCCTTGTTAAGAGGCGAAGCCCACAAGCGCGTCTGTGCGGATAATCTTGTGTCTGTCTGCGAGGGGCCGGCAACCTGTCCAGGGTGGACCCTGTCTTGTGCCCCCTTTGTGCTCTGGCCCTGCCCTGAATTCAATAAAACGATAAGAAAATGGATGGATGAATCTTGTGTTTGTACTTCATAGCAACAGTTTGTGTAAACAAAAAGACTAAAATATCTGACTGAATTCTATTTATTTCACAGTCTTGCTTCCATTCCTTAAATATATGGTTTTGTCAATGCACCGTTAATATTAACCCCTTCCTGCTTTCTTCGATATCATAGCCTCAGTACGAGTGGGGGGATTTGATAGTGCCACCTGACCGTGAGTCACTGCAGTTTAAAATATCAATGGCGCCAGGTGACACTGGTCCATGTGATGGCAGGTTTATGAGTTCCGGTAATTGCCACTCTGCAGGGGTTTGATGTCTTGCATGTGATGAATATCCACTAGAGGAATGGAAATGTAGCAATGTAATTGCTACAGCTGTGCATCGGGGCTATAATTCTTCATAACCTGTGATATCATTACATAGCATAATCAAGTCTAAGGATGGGTGAAGGACATTGATGACTAATTGTGTATCTTAAGAACAATCTGTGCTTTGTTGCATGTGACGCCTCCATGCGTACTTGGTGTTGACAGCGTGCTTGTGATGTGCTTCTCCAGAGTTACAGGTCAGCGAGAGGCCCTGGGCCCTGGAGGAGCTGTGTGCTGGCCTGACCGCAGTGATCACACACAGGTGCAGAGTGAGGGCTGGGGGGGGCTGAGCCAGGCAGCTCAGAGCGGAAGAGACTGTGGCTTCTCAGACAGGAGGCCCGCGAGACTCCATCACCGAAAACACAGACACACACACACGCACCCCCTCGCTCTCTCGCCTGCCCTCCATGCTGGCTGAAACAGGAAGGAGAATGCCATTGCGGGCTCCGGCAATGGCCCATGCGCAGTTCCAGTGCAGGCAGCGCCCTCTGCTTCTAATAACACTGCAGGGGAGAGGTCGGGCGTTTCTAAAAAAGCACCTTCGAGCCCTGCACCGCTGGCCACAGCAGGGACATCGGCGTCAAGCCCCTGAGGTAGCTAGCTCTCTGTGTTACCCAGAGGGCCGAGCCACAGGCTCTCTTCTTCTGAAATGTATGTAAAATCCGTGAGCACTGAAAAAGAAACGATGAAGAAAGCAAAAACCACATCGGCCTGGCTCAGGCACCAACAGCTCAGCCCATGCATGTTAACTAGCTCAGTGCTTCTGCACCAGGGCTTAATGCAGGTTCACAAGAGCACCGCGCTGTCTTGACTCTTAATTCTTGATCCCTGGGGGCTCGGGGCATCTTCCCACTCCTCAGGGTCACCGAAGGTACCAAGTTCCTGCTTACGTAACAGAGTCTGCAAGTCTGTGCCTTCTTAACTCCCCGATTTAGACAGATCTCTTTAGTATTTGAAGGCTATGTTAAAGGGTAAATCTAATCCTAACTCCAGCTCCACCTCAAAGCCTGCAAATATCACATTACTTTCAATAATCGTTTATCCAATTCATGGGGTCATGGTAGCCCAGAGCCTACCCCAGGAAGCACTTGGCGCAGGACAGGATGCACCCTGGGTGGGATGCCAGTCTACCACAGGGCACTCACAGACACAGAGACAATCTCACTAGGGCCCATTCCCCAGAAGACAATTAAGCGAGCAGTATGTCTTTGGACTGTGGGACCCCAAGGAAACCCATGGGAACACAGCAAGAGCAGGCAAACTCCAAGCAGATGGCACCCCCAGGAACTGAACCCAGGGCTGCACTGAAGCAGCATTGCTGGCCACTGTACCACTGTGCCACCCACTTTCAAATATCCATCCAACCATTTTCTAACCATTTTATTCCAATTCAGGGTCCTGGATGAGCCAGAGCCTGTCACAGGAAGGTAGGATACACCTTGGACAGGACGCCAGTCCATCGCAGGGCACACAGACACAGACATGCACACACTCACACTTACATACTGTATTCAGCATGCCATTTTCACATTTTGAAATACTTTTAGGCATGGATATTCTTATACTACAATGCTTGAGGATGCAGGTTTATAGAGGAGTGATCTAAACAATACATTGGATCACTTTTTGAAGATGAATATGTCACCTTTGAGCACATCTTCTTTGGTACTGAAATTACTGCAAATTAAGCTCGGGTTCAGTATATACAGTAGTTGCTGGATAGGGTTAGAAATGCCATAGAAATTTCATCTTAGCCATGGTTATGTTTATTCAAAACTAATTTTGATTCGGTCCCTCGGAGGTAGTTCTTGTCGTAATGCTCATATAGAGTATTTATGTCATATTTTAGTTCTGAGATGATGCTTTGGTGGGAGTTGTATAAGTCAGGAATAAGGATATGTTCCTTTGCAGGCATGTTGATGGGGAGGCCTTAGATTGAGGTGGTTCATGTTTTTGTCTCTGTTTTCTGATGGAGTCTGTGACTCTGCAGGGGAGGCTGGGTGTTATATGGTCTATTACATAGCACACAGCTTCTTCCTGTGGAACGCTTCATTCTAGTGTTATATATAGTGATATCAATAGGCAAGTGTTACTGTGTGGCTGTGCTTGTGAAGTTAGGCAAGACCTGTGGACAGACAGTTCAGAAAAGAGCAACAACAGTAATTCCTCATCCCACTGATGCCAGACACAGACACCTCTAATGAGGTGAACATCTTTGGTCTTGAACTGAGAAAATGGCACGCACATTTCATCCAAGTGGCTATACCTCAGAGAACAGCACAGCTCATTTGCTGGAGTACAAAAACCATCTGATCTGGTCCGGTCCAAGCAGTTTCTTGGATTTGTCCCCTTTCTCAATTTGACTTTTTCGGCTAGTCACTGTTTGTTCTGCTATTTCTATGCATAAAAAAAGCTCAAGAGGACACAAATTAAGAGCTTTTGCTTTGAAAAAGGAGACGCAGCTGGAGGGCTCTTAGTGTTTGAAACACACTGGCTGGCCATTCCTCATTCCTCTTGAATCTTAAAGAAACGGCTGGGCGAGATAATGGGCCTCCTCTTCGTCTGTTACCATTCTCATGTTGGCTGAGCTAAAAACAGCCACAGGACATACATGTACAGTACCTGATATAAGAAAGCTTGCAAACTAGAGAAGAAAATTTGGCCCAAATACCTTATTTGGGTAGTTGGTTGCTAATTCATTCTGTAGTCTGGTCCCAAGAAGGATCCTTCAGAGTCAGATTCAGATTCAACGACACATACAGTACAGTCCACCCTCAGTGATGCACAAAACACTCCCTGACACACACAGTGCATGGGTTCCCGCTGGAATTCCAGTCCCAGCAGCCCCTCTTACCTTGTAGACCTTCCCGAAGGCACCATCTCCCAGTTCGCCCACCGTCTCCCAGCCATCCTGTGGGTTGACGTCTCTCCGAACGTTCTCATAATGCCTGATTTTCTTCTTCTCCCCCCCCAGACGGAACAACTTCATCAGGAGAGATGCCATGACCCTGCCAGCAGTCCCAGATGCCCGGAAATCCCCCGGCTGACACCAATATCCCAGAGTGTGGACCTCCGCCACAAACAGGTAAAAACAGAAGCGGTGATTCTGTTTAGAGAATGGGTCAATGTGGTGTCGCCTGGGTCCAAAAAGGAGAAGGTAATTTAACGAAGCGTTTGTGAAATAAACCCAAGATGATGTCTATAAGCCCAGCAGGCCAGGTAGGTCTAAAGCACAAATTAAAACAGTGCTTCCGTGTGAGGAGGATCCATTCAAGTAGAGGTGTGATAATAGTACTGGTACTGGTAATGGGAATCAGGTAACGGCTTCACACAAAGTCATCCAGCAGGGCAGTTCCAGCATCCCAGTGTCATGGCCCCCACATACGAGAACAGAGTGCCCGTCCCAGCATCAGGCCCTCAGAGCCAGCGTCCCTCCGAGGATTCAGCCCGAAACCCGAAAGCGCCCTTCTTTCTGAGACAGGAAATCGTCGTCACAATCTGCCACATTCTCGACCGAGGGGGGGAAAAAAACGAAAATAGAGCCACCAGGTTGAGAAAGAAACCCACTGGTTGTGAAGCAGCGTTTGTGTCCAAAAGCATCCAAGATATTCGCGATGGTTTCCGTGACCTTTTTTGTCGTAACCAAGGAGGAGCAGAGTCACAGCGGGGAAACGTCCCTGGGAGAGAGGGCTGGGGTATCCGCCGGTTTCGGCTGTTTCTTAGGGAGAGCGAAGGCTCCGGGGCAGTGGGGTGAGGAGAGGTGTCGCGCGGAGACGTGTACGCAGCTGTCGGAGAGCGGGGTCTGTGGTCCTCCGGCTCTGCCACATCCTCCCTCTGACCTGCTGCACGCCGCCTGCGAAGGTTCAAGCGCGCTGCCGTTCAGGCAGAGGATGGGGAGTTTGAAATTGCACTCTTTCTCGTTTACTCCTCCCCCCCCCTCGCTCTCTCTCTCTCTCTCTTTTTTCTGCCTCTTTGTTCCTGTGGCCCCCGCCTGTCTCCTCCTCTGCCTTCTGCACAGGGGTAGGGGATGGCTGCATGGCTCCTTCTCTGACCCCGGCGGTGTTGTGTGTGGGGGTCTTTGCAAACTTGCTCGCGTTTAGATCTGTGCAAGTTCGTATGTGTGGATATGTGCCACTCCACGTGAGTGGAGGTCTCTTGAATTTTGTGTGTCTGTGGGTATGGGCCAGTCCCTGTGTGTACGTATGTCTGTCTATGTGTGTCTGTGAGCATGAGGCTGCCTGTGTGTGTAGGTATATCGGTTTGTGTGGGTGTGTGTTTCTGTGGGTATGTGTCAGTCTGTGTGAGTTTGTGGGTGCTGTGTGTGTGTGTGTAAGTATGTGTCAGTGTGTGTGTGTTTCTTGGTATGTGTCAGTGTGTGTCTGTGGGTATTTGCCGGTTTGTATGTGTCTGTGGGTACTGTATGTGTCTGTGTGTGTGTGTCTGTGGGTATGTGCAGGTCTGTGTGTGTCTGTCAGTATGAGTAAGTGTGTGTGTGCGTTTGTGGGTGTGTGTGTCCGTGAGTATGTGTCAGTGTGTCAGTGTGTGTGTGTTTGAATTGTCATTTCTCAGTCGCTTGCTTGTGTGTTTTACCTCTCTAGAAAGGTAACACACAGAGGGTCACACTGCTGTTTTATAACCGTGTTCAGCAGACAGTGTGGGAAACCAGGACCTCGCGTGCTCAGCCTGGGCTCCGCAGTGTCAGGAAGTGGCTCCTTCTCATTTCTGTCAGCAGGGGGCAGCACCAGCCTCTGAATAGGGGTGAAAATGTGTACAATATCAGCAGACTTGGGACCCAGCTAAAACAAGGCTTTTGGCATAGAAACAGTTAAAATGGCCATTTACGGGTATACAACAGATTCCAAAAGTAAGAGGCCCAAGCAAACGGAACACTATGAATGACCAATATATGAATGACCACAGGTTCTTTTACCAGGAAGACTTCTTTCCTGCTCTGTTGTTTGTGAGTGGTACAGTCTTGCTGCAAAAACATTCAGAGGGTAAAATATGAATAAAAATCTAGAAATAAAAATGTGTTCATTTGAATTGCAGAATGAAATTTGTTTTCAGAAATAAAAAGGCATTTTCACTCAGGAAAATGCAGTTATCTTCGGGTTTCTTAGAGAAACTAAAGGCATACTGATGTAAGATCTGTTGGAGTTTGTATAAAAATAGTTTTAGTGTGAGTGGGCACACAGTATTGCAATCAATAAGAGGGTTATTTTATTCTTGACTTGGCTCAGAGTACATTCCATGCTGCTGTCTGCTTGCCTATTGTAAAGCTTTAGGAACGAGGCTGGCCCGGCTGGAAGGGGTGTTAGGGAGTATGTTGGTGCTATGTGCCATGTGAACAGGCCAGGTGGCTCTTGTGCCATCTGCGGTTTGGAAAGGTTTGTGCCAGCAACTCGTTGTTCAGTGCACTAGTTGCCAGCTCGTTTGGACTGGCATCCTCATCTCCGACTGGCTCCTCAGTGACTTGACAATCGGCAGGATTACACAGGTGTTATTCAGGCACTGCGGCGGATTAGACTGGATTAGACTGGGCTGAGCTGATTATATCACCCTGCAGCTCACAACTGCCAGCCCACTGAAGCTGCCCAGTACCTGGATGGGAGACCTCCTGGGAAAAGCTAAGGTTGCTGCTTGAAGTGTTGTTAGTGGGGCCAGCAGGGGGCGCTCACCCTGCAGTCTGTGTGGGTCCTGATGCCCCAGTATAGTGATGGGGACACTATACTGTAAAAAAAGGCGCCATCCTTCGGATGAGATATAAAACTGAGGTCCTGACTCTCTGCTGTCTTTAAAAATCCCAGGGTGTTTCTCGAAAAGAGTAGGGGTGGAACCCCGGCCTTTCCCCCTGGCCTTTACCAATCATGGCCTCCTAACAATCCCCATCTCTGAACTGGCTTCATCACTCTGTCCTCCTCCCCGCTGAGAGCTGGTGTGTGGTGATAGTACTGGCGCACTATGGCTGCCATCACATCATCCAGGTGGGGCTGCACACTGGTGGTGATGGAGGGGAGTCCCCATAAAATGTCAATCTTTTTGAGTGGAGTGACCAGAAAAGCACCGTGTAAGTGTGAGCAATTACTATTATTATCCTTGCATGACTGCAGACTCACAATTAAGTTTAATTGTCAGGCCTGACTTAATTAAACAGATTGATTTGATCCATTGATCAGACTGATCATTTAAAGGAGACCCCTGGATTTGAGCAGAATGATGAATTTCATTTATTTCTTGAGGCATACATGCATGACAGTGTTCCTCTCCAACCCTTTGCATTCACCCAAGGAGTGTGTATTTAAATCATTAAAGCACCTCTCTCTCTTTTTCTGGGCCTGTGGTTTCAGTAGACCTCTGTCCTCAGACTCTAGTGTATTTTAAGACATTGGCAGTGATTTTCACAGTGTGGCTGGAGCACTGAGTGGTCAAGACAACATGATCTGTTGCTGATGGATTAGCTCTGTTGTAAATAGCCCTGCTGTATAATAAATGAATAGCTGGCAGCTTCCCCACAATTCTCCAGTGTTCCTCCATAACGCTTCTATGCCACAGGGTAGAAATAGCAGTTTTCTGGGTGCTTGTCTGTATCAGGTCCTGAGAAAGCACAGGGCTAGGCTATAGTGGATACTGTGGTGTTTGGGGATGCTGATCTGACACCCCCACAGCCGAGTGTACTGATCTGACACCCCAACAGCTGAGTATACTGGTCTGACACCCCCACAGCTGGGTACACTGTTCTGACACCCCCACAGCCCAGTGTACTGATCTGACACCCCAACAGCTGAGTACACTGGTCTGACACCCCCACAGCTGGGTACACTGGTCTGACAC